CAAGGAAATAAAACTGTATGTGACTGTTCCTATCTGCTCGTTCTTAGATCTCACTCTGTAACAGGGTTGCGTTAATTTTCTCGTTTCTCGATGTCTCCTCCGAAACTGATGCTCTTTCACAGCCGGGACAGTTTGAGGATATACGCTATTACAAGTACGTTCTACATGTACTCACTCAACCTATGGTTCATTGATTGTCTTTTAGTTTGAATGGTTAGATGGCTCTCAAAGCCTACATCGCTTATCAGGATCCGAGATATTTAGAGTTTGCTGTGCGAGCTTGGGAGTTCGAAAGAAATTTTGTAGATAGCGCGTTTCTTAGCCCTAGCAGACTTGTGTTTCCGGTCCTCAAGCTTAGCATGGACTTAAACTGACTACTGTCCATTTCACATTTTCATTCGTCTGATGGGAGATCGAAGGCTTCAAAAACTCTAACGCCACTCTTTTATCAGTTATCTGCTTGTCCTGATTTACCTACAGCCTCGTATCTATAACGCCGGTTCTTCCTCTTTACGTACATAACTCGTTGGCGTCGCGGTACCGCCCGCTCGTGTATTGAAAACACTAACAGCATCTTCCCGAACTTCCCGGACGTCGACCGCAGGTATGTCCCGTTCCGCTTATCGAGAACGGCGAACACTCCTTCCAAAGTCTTTTTCTCTGGTGTCTAGACAATATTGCCGTTTATTTTTGTTGACCACGGTTGGTCCAAGCTAGTAGCACGGCCGTGTATCGCCGCCGACCGAACTTGTATTGTTCCACGTGTAGTGGCCAGAATCAGACAGTGATTAATGATTGGTCAAATCCGCCAGTAAGGACTAGCTATGGGCAGTGTTCCGTATCGTTGGTGAATGCCACATCAACGCGATCAGAAATTCTTACCGTTTTTCTGAGTCAAAGCGCAAACCCTTCAACGCAGCACGTGGAAGGTAAATTGTGTTCCGTTGCTTTACACAGCGGTGTTCTCTCCTTAACTTTCGCTCGGGTTAAAGCCTTTCCAAAGTCTAAGCACCCTTCATAGAAGGTTTCTGAATGAGACACTAGTTCGCAATCTGTCGCAATCCGCCAAATAATACTGCGGGGTACTAGTAGGCCTAGGTACCATCATCCCTTCAATATTAAAGCAACAGCATTGGGTTTCCGGCGCTGATACCTTTGATGGGATGAAGCACCGCTAGGCAATCATAGCCTCCTCGGCCCTCTCCACCACGGCCAGACCTGCATAGCAGTTCATCCGTGGCGTATTGCATATATACAAGTTCTTGGCTGGCTGAAAGGATAGCATAAGTATTCAAAACGCCACTACCCACAGTCATCGCCTCGCCTTACGTCGAATGCGCAAGAGCCCTATAGGGTTAGCAACAGGTCTATAGCATACCACTATTTGCCGTGTCGCCATTCTCACAGACTATCAGAACATTTACCCGGGAAATCGGCATTGCTTTTGGGTTGCAGTCTCGACTCTGCGTGGAGAATGCTGTTCACAGTTGATCTAAATCAGGATGGGATCCATGGCAGGAGACCAGGTGTGCATGGCACACACACTTCGCGAGGGTGAATTGTGTTTATTATATGGAGGGATTGTGTCAAAGCTTGTTCACGACCCAAGCGCTCTTAGAACTCGTGTAATAGGAGTAAATGGCTGGATCTAAGACCTGAGGTTGCACAAAGAGGCAAAACGTCGTATTTCAGTTCAGCCACTAATTTCGTCTCTATCAAAAAAACGGGATTGGCATTGATTTCGAGGCGCTGATGCTTGCATATTATTTCCCGACACTGCGAATATAAAACCAGCAGTGAAGAGCTATTATGTAGTAACATTCCTCCAGATTTTATGGCGTCTTCTCCGTGCTTCAAACTACATGACACCATCGAAAATATAGTGAGACAGCCCGGATGATGTGACAGTCTAGCTAACTGATGTTTTTCCTGTAGGTACTATACGCGCTCCTCCTTCTCTTATTTGTCGGCAGGGCCGCCACACAGATAACTATACCATCAGCATGGACTGCAAGTCTAGCATGATTTTCAACCACACAATCAAGGACTCAGTTTGCATTTGCAGAACACCACGATCAAAATCACGAAAGAGGAACGTATTCACATCGCAAGTGCCGCGCTGGATATGGTTTTGACCTCCGGCGTTCCTCAAAGTAAATGCGCATAACCTACCTTCGTATGGGCGTGATTGAATACTAACACCCCATATATAGAGTTCGACACACTCGCAAATTTTTTCTCTCAGCTGGCGGAATTCGATATATTGACCAATCAGACTAGATATCAGCATGTAGTCAACGACTACTTTGCGAAGGGACCGTATACCAAAGAGATTAAACTGTGCGTCCTTAGTTCTATCGATAAATGGTAAAAACTCACTGGTGGAATAGGGTTACGTTATCCGTCTCTTTCTTCCGTTGTTTTTGCTTACACTTTGGCATAGGAGGCAAATTTTAAAGGGATACCATATTACAAGTATGCTTACTCTGCAAACTTTATGCACGCTTCTGACCATTGATGTAGTTTGAATGGATATGCAGCGGTAAAAGCCTTCATTGCCTATCGAGATCCGAAATATCTGGAGTTTGCTGTGCGGGCTTGGGAATTTGAAAAGAATTTTGTATTCTCCGAAAGTGGCTTCCCCCCCTTATACCAAAACCTTTCCGATCACGCTCGTGCTGCCATAGACTCACACAATAGTTGTGATGATTGTGGGTTGTCAAATACGAGTCCAAGGGGTTTCATTGACGATTCTATTCCTTGTGCTAGCGGTTGATATGAGTGGCGGGCTGATGGCAAGTGGTTCGCTAGCTTGAGCTGGTTTTATGGCTCATTTTTCGTTGGGAAGTAGTCGTCTGAGTCCTATGTGGGGATAGATGAGACCGCGTAAGACAGCCCAGATGTCTTTTCAATCAAAACTTAATCCTCCGCTCTGTTTTAGAAGATATTTCAGGTGCGTGCAACTTCCTTCTCTTGGCTCTGATTAATCCTTTTAATTTGTATTGTGTTCAGAATATCTGCATTACTTGCTGAAATTACTCAGAATAGCACATATATCAAGGCAGCACAACAATCTGCAGACTTTTTGTTATTTAGAGTCTACACAAACGATTCTTTAGTTCCAGGGATGGTCATATTGAACAATGAAACATGCCAGATTCATCAAGACGAGAAAAGAAACTCGTGGAACATTGGCTATACCATCGAGGGACTGTCTATTTTTTTGTCCGTGCGAGCAAACGGAACAGCGATGGAGAGGCATGTCGCTTTGTTGTCCCATGCTACGCTTACCAGTGCCCATACGACGTGTTCCAGGTTGACAAACAGTGTAGTGGCTTCGACAACCTATCCGGAATGGCACGAGGGCCGAGGTATTCAGACTGTAAAGAGTATGTACTTGCCGTGTTTTTCGATCATATTCAAATTGACATCTCACATAGCAAATACGTTTGGCGACCCTAACCTGGTTCGTGGTCTATCAGTTGCTTGTGCCTTACAATCAGACAACGCAAACATGACCACATACATATCAAGCTATCTATCAGTTCAGGTATGACTTCTTCGACATACTACGACCTGCTTACTTGACAAATGTTTTAGTACAATGCAGTAATTAGCCTGGCAACTGTTCCTGGAACAGATACTTACGGAGGCTGGTGGAATGGTCCTCCAGCTACAAACTACTCAGCTGTTGACCAAGTGAGGGCTGCTCAAGTGCTTCTTACCGGGATTAGCCTCGCACAGGACCAGGAGGGGAAATCACCATCACCATCGCCACCACTACCACTATTGGAGAAGAGACCTTTACCTATTACAGGGATTGTAGGCGGTGTGATTGGCGGTCTATTCGTTGTGACGGCGATAATCGTTTGCTTGCTGTACATGAATCGACTCCGCCGCTACCGCATATCTTTATCCTCCACTGATGACATCCAGCCCTATCCCAGTGGACTCATGGGTGAGAAGATGGGTTCCAAAAAATTCACGCCTTCCGAAAGTCAGGATCCTCGTAGCGATGGTCAAAATCAGACGACAGTAGGTTCGTCATGGAGCCTAACAACAGATTCGTCTTCGAGCGTTACTAGGAGGGAGATAACAACTGCCGAATTAGTTCACATGCTGAACCAGAGGTTGCAGCCTGAGCGCTGGCGTGAAGATGAACAGCCTCCTGGATATTGTACTTCGACAATTTCATCAATGAATAACTAGCGATTTGGGACTTGTATGGACATCTCGGGAACATTGGTAATACTGTATAATCAAAACCTGTCTTCCCCCATGTATAGCTTTAGGATGATATTCCAGAGTCTAGATACCAAATACTTAACTTCCTTGTGCTTTTGGGCTTGATATGAGTAATGAGTCAACTACTATTCACAAGGCGCCTGATGGGCGTTAATATTTCCAAAAGTAGCGGGTCTTCAGCCGAATGAATGTTTGTATCGTATTTCCGCCTAACCTACGCAAGCTCCGTGATTGTTTATCTTGAGATTGTTACATCGCACATTCAAGAACGGTTCCGAATCCAACCGAATACGAACACATCGATGGTAGATGATTTGTAAATACGATGGCTGGTAGGCCACCCTTTATCACTACCCCGAGTGATGAAACCATATTAAACCGGTCAGGTCTCCCCTGATCTGACTGCAGCCTTTTTTGCGTGGCAGGTGCTGTAGAGTAAATGCCCAGGCTACCCATGTTTATCCCCGTATAGGTAAGTACATCGTCTGTTATACTACTTGAGGACTGGAAGGACTAGCAGTCAACTATAAGCAAGGAATTTGCAGCGTGGACTCAGCTCGCCCTGGTAGTATATCGATCATACACGTGCCTGTCATTCCCAGCTACTCCGCGAAAACTGGGTTCGACTCAGTTGAGGATGCAGGTAGGAAATTCCTGGTACACGGGCTCGAAACGAACGAACTTCCAATTCTGTAATGCGTGGTGATCGCAGAAGAACGTCGATGTTACACTCAAATCACAAGAACCACTCTAACTCCCTGATAGTCTATCAGCTATACACGCGCCTAGAGTTCCCAGTCAGCGCGTGAAGCTGGGTTCGACTCCCAGCCAGGGAGATATGAAAGTGGGCAGGAAAATTTTGATTTTCAAGACGAGATGATTAAGATGTTTCGACTGCAGCCATTGCACGATAATTGCTCACTTCTTTTGATTAGTCTGAGGTGATCCTGTAGGTGATGGCAAAGCGCCGCTGGAAGTCTTGGATTGTTTTATTTCGGTGATGCATACACTAAGGTCTCGACAACTTGGAGCAGCTTCACTAGATAAGTACACGTGGACGAGGTCCCGTCTGGAGAGATCGTTTCGAGGATGAAAGGGAGCCGCTTCTACGAACAGTGAGACGTACTTGGCTTTGGCAGCGACAAGCTATGATTGGAACACTCTAAAAGACATTGCGAGGTAAAGATTGAGACGTACTCAAAGTTTGAAATCACATACTTTGGCATCTTCTAGATCGCTCGCATCCTGTCGTTTACTCACTCCTACCCAGTTCTTGCATCGCGGGCATTATACCTCGTAGCTTAATTCCCATCTGAAAGTTTCCTGATCTATAAAGCCGAGTCGAGTGCTGGAACTTCGAGAGATGTGCCCGAGGAATGTGTTGCATACGAAGTGTGTGGTACATATGTGCCCTATGTACAATATTGGCATCGACATGTCGGGTTTGATTGAACAGATTTTGGTGGGGTAGTGATTAGTTGGATAGTTTGCTCGAAGGCAGAGAAGTCGTTCTCTTTATAGCTGAGGCAAGTGGGAAAAGTGCTTTTTGAGATACCTAGATGTTACATTTAAATCACGAGAACCATCCTAACTCCCTGATAGTCTATCGGTCATACGCGCGCCGTTGGCTTCCCATGTTGAGCGAAAGCTGGGTTCGACTCCCAGCCAAGGAGATTGGTGATATCCGTCACGATTGAGATATTTTTCGTCCTGTCTATCTATGTCGAACAAAACAGTCTTTTGAGAGTTGCTAAAATTGAGGGGAAATCTCCCTAGCTGGGGAGTCGAACCCAGCTTTCGCGCAGAGCCGTTTGATGGTAATGACAGGCGCGTGTCCTAACCGCACAAGATTCACTCTAACTGTCTATTGGTCATAGATGCGCCGTTGTCTTCCCGTGTTGTGCGAAAGCTGGGTTCGACTCCCAGCTAGGGAGATTTCGTGGTAGTCGTCAAGTTTTGGTTTTCACGACAGCGGGAATGGTCGAGATGTTGTCTATTTATCAAACAAAACAGTCTTTTGGTAGTTACCAAAAATTCACCGGCTTAAAGCGTGGTACCTCCCTGGCTGGGAGTCGAACCCAGCTTTCGCGCGCAGAATCCAAATTACGGGCAATGACAGGCGCGTGTACTAACCGATATACTACCAGGGAGTTATCGGTGGGGTACTTCAACACTTACCTTCAGAGACGAATCTGAACCACAACCTTGAATACAATTCATCGGATAAGGAATACATCAACACACGACAGGGATGCAGGGATACAATGATGCGGAGGGGCCTAAACAATACCCTACCTACCACATAGCATCCAAACCCGAACCCAAGACCCAAGACCCAAAACCTAGTAAGTCTGATCATCGCAACCGCTGTATTGGTCGCAGCCCTCAGTCGGAGGTGGTACCGAGGTATCGCAGCCTCCGTATTTGTCGCAATCTTAGGTGGGAGGTGAGGTCCAGTCACGACCGCCGTATTGATCACAGGTAGGTGGTGGGGTGTAGGTATTGCATCCGCCATATTGATTGCATGAGCCGTACTAAGACGCTTTTATTAGCGTCAGGATAAAGGTGAGAGAACCCAGGAGAACGTACCGAGTCATGGACTCCGTAAACACCCGACTTCTTACTCTTGATAACAGCACCCGAGACAGAGAGTGCGAATTCGAGAGTGACGAGGACGATGAGGTCTTCGATGCAGGATTAGCATCAGAGTAAGGGGAGAGGGGAGGAGGGGGGAGCGTACCTTCATGTTGACTTTGGAGTGCAGGGATGAGAAGACGGAGAGCTTGAACAGGACGAGAGGGGTTGACCTGATGAGGAAAGGAGGGCTTTGAGGAGGTTCTATACCGAGAGAAAGGGTATGAAATTGAGGGCTTATAGCTGGGAAGTGGTTGGTTGGGTGTTTGATGAAGAGCTCGGGTAGGCTGTTTCATACAAGGAGGTCGGGCCAGCGTTTCATTCAGAGTCAAGAATGTCGGGTGAGCGCCGTGTCGTTGAGGGTCCTTGTGCGTCGGTGGAGTCGGCTGTTGTCGCTTTGGTTCTTCTCCAGAGTTTTCCCATCTTCACGGATGCTCTAAATCCCAACTCAATCCTCTTCTTCCTTGCGCTTGCCCAAGCGTCTTGCGACCCATGAGGCAATCGTTGCACCGTGTTTCGGGTATTGAGTTGGGTTTGGATGATCTTGCATGTCAGGTAGGGACTGGGCAGTGTGAAGGGAGGATGGACAAGGGACAAGGGACAGTGTAGTCGTCGTCGTCAAGGGCAGAGAAGAGTTTGCTCGCCTTTCGGTTCCCATTCCGGCCGGCATGTGATCTTGTGATATCGATTTGCCTGATTTGGAAGAACCATTCCTGCCGAATAGTGTCTTCAATCGTCTTCGCAGTCTCTTTGTAGTCCGCCTAATAGTCGTTAGGCGTACCTAGACAAGAGATATAGTAGGGCACTGAAGTGGGCGTTTGCTCCAATATCAAGCCCACGGACCATCGTGACGGTGTGACACATCTGTGATTTGGTAAAATGTCACATGGTCGTCACTGTTTTCTCCCTTTCCCATCATCTCGTTGTGGATGCCCGACAGCCACACCAAGCTCTCGCGGTCGGAAGGTTTGAGAAACAGGAACTAGACATCTCAGCGGGACTGCAGCGGGTACATCACTGTTTCTTCTCCCAATCACATGCCATATCACACGCGACGTTCTCTCAACTGACGCGTCGTCTATGCCTGTGCACAGTGCACGAATTAGAGCCCTATTCAATCCTTGGAAGATGATCTCCGCAGAGCATCATGTTGAAACCTGCGAAAATCAATCCCAGGTTACTTTACTGCGCTGATGAGTTCCTCTCAAATCCGTTCATGTTCGTTTGTACCGCTGAACGACACTATGCGATCCTGACATACACCTAGGCTCATCCATACTCGACAATTCTATCACATCAGGCTCGCTCGGGATCTTGTTTATGGATTGATACTTGCTATCGATAATCCAGAAGCTTGACGACTAGCTAGACGGTAACCGGTAACGTGTAGCCTTTCATTATCGTGCGCATTCTCCAACTAGTTATGGTCGCTCCTTTTGTCGCTTCAACCCTGGCGTATATGCTACGGAACGAAGGGCCTTTTGAATGTGAGTATTCGTGTTACTCTAAATCTTCATAGTCTAACATCACCCACGTTCTTGGGTTTGCGTCGTTTTCCTCGCCTAAAGTCACGATATCAAGTATCAAGCACACTAGAATGTTTCCAGTCCTCAACGACTCGGGCTATATGGTTTGTTTTAAACTAGCTTTGAAGACACTAATACGGCAATGACGCACTATCTATGATGTCCTAGGGATTCACAAACCGACTTTCTCGTTTACGATCTTTGGTCCGCGTCTACACTACAGCGAGGGGCTGTATCTAGCACATGTCGATGTCACAGGTAGGTAAAACACTTCGTCACCGGAATACACGGTGATAAAACGTCTCTCCATGTCAAGAAAGTCGCTTCCTGAATCTGTCTCTGCGAGTGCATATCGAGTTTCTCAAGAGCAGCCAATTCGACGCGGATTGGGGTGAGATTTGGGCTACTCGTTCATCTGTGTTTACTCAAACCCAAACCCGCCCTCGTGGAACTTGCTTGATACGAGTATTAGTGGTACTCCGACCATGCAACCTCACCTGGGTCGAGGCAAGAGACGTCTGGATCAAAGCCGCTCAAAATTAATACGAGAATAAGAACAAGTGCCTGCTTTACTAGTACAAGGCTTTTGCTAATCGTCGACTTGGATTAAATGTAAGGGACCACGAAGATGATGAGACTGTGATCCATACGCTTTCTATCACATAATTGACCCTCGGAAAGCCATGATATAGTTCTTGTCAAGCCAAGCGAACGGCCGCTGTCTCGAGTCACACATAAATGTCTGGGCTGTGCCACACAACACCTAGAATGAAGCATTGGCACTGGAATCCACCATAAAACCTTCCTTTCGAAGGACATACGTTCTCTCCGGTGTCCAAACAATACCGCCGTTGACAGAACAGTACGGCCGTTTATCGCCGTCGGCCAAACTTGGCGCAAGGAAGAAAAGGTATTGAATGTACTTACAGTACGCGATCTGATGCTTCAATTGCTTGGATACTGTGTTACTCCACGTGCGGCCTCTTCCCTACAGGCGCCAGAGCCGGACGATGATTGGCTAGATTACATCCGCCGTAACCGTCGTGGCTTCCCCTTCCACTGATGATATCCAACCTTATCCCAGTAGCTTCGTGGGTGAAAAGACGCGTTCCAAGAAAGCCTTCTGGAAGTCAGAACTCTCGTAATGGTGGTGATACTCAAACTCGGGTGGCAATAGATTCAGCACGAGCGTTCTTAGGAGGGAGATAACAACTACCGAATTGGCTCATATACTAAACCAAAGGTTGCAACCTGAACACTGGCGTGAATATGGAAAAACCGTCTGGATATGGTGCTACGACTATTACACTTTCAAGATGATGTACTCGGGTACGTAAATGAATAGCTAGCGATTTGGGACTTGTAAGTGCGTCTTGGGTCCAGGCTATGCAGGTAGTACAATTAAAGCGTGTCTTCACCCATGTATAGCGTTAGGATGGCATTTGAGGATTTAGATATTAAATATCTAATTCCTTGACTGTGGAAACCTCCATGGTGGTTATTAGTACACGCATAGGAACAGACAGGATCACGACGTTATTTCTGATGTTTATTTTGTTGGTATTGGTTCACCGTGTAGAGTTTAATAGCACTACAGGTACTACTCGCTCTCTGTATTGAAAACCTAACGACGAACATCACAGCCCACACAAGCCTCTCGATTAGACTCCCTCTCA